GCCACTGTGCCTGGCTCCTTCTCTACTTTCTTATTCTTTGTTTTATTTTACAAAGCATTTGGGGAGCATCTTCATATGTTTGTTTCACTAGAACAGAATCTCCCTGAAGCTGGCAGCTAGGTCTTGTGTTTGGTATGTCATGTGGCGTAGTACATGTCCCACGTGTTGCAGTATTCAACTGATGTTGTTAAATGATTGTCAGTCAAGTCAGAATCATGACCTCACTCAACAGCATGTAGACTCTAAAGTTTGTACATTGCTTTTGATGTTTTGTTATTTCACTTGATTCTCTCAAGATTTCTGTGTGGTAGGGGCTGGTTTATTATTTTCATTTTCCATGTGGGAAATGTGTGAAGAACCCTCTCATCTATCCCACCCCTGGGTGACTCTTCCAGGCTTGATGATCATTGTGAAGGTAAAAAGTTGGCATTTAGTCTGTCCTTAAGAATTTCTTTTGTTTTCTGAACTTCTACTTGGAAGCAGCAGAGGGCGCCTGACCACATAAAAGATAGTCTAAAAACATATTACCCTGGAGAATCCATTGTCAAAAATTGTGACTATCACTAAATTAGGGGCCTGTATTTAATCCTTTTATTATTTCAGGATTCTGATCTCACTTTAGATGTTCCATTCTACTCCTTTCTCAGTAATGAGAATTTCAATCTCACGTAAGTCACCATGACATGTGTAATCCAAGAGTCTTCCAATTTAGCTTCAAGATTCTTTCAGTTAATAAAAGTACTAAACCCTGCATCATCCTAAATCTTCTAAATACAGACTACACTCTTCCTTTTGCAGCTATGAAGAGGGGACCACTGTAATGCATTGCCAACGGACATGCTGTAACTGAAGGGCTGATTTGCCTCAAGTGCGTTGCCTTGAGGTGACCCAGGATTCTCGGAAAGCAAGGAAGGATTAGGGGTGTTCTCCAGGTCACAGCACCCTAGAGGGCATGCTCAGGACTTCAGTCTTCGGTAGTCCGTCTTGGGGATCATATCTGCGGCTGAGGTCAGGTTTTGTGAGTTCTCCGCAGCGCCCCACATCGCTCGTGGAGTGGTGGCAGCCTTAACCCAGCTCCCCCTTCTTCCTGTCGTCTTCCCAAACCTCACCGCCCTTTCTCGGCTCTTCAGTGTGAAGTGGCCGACCGGACCCAGGGCTGAGTCCTCTGGCAGCTCACGCACAAAGGAAGAAACCAGGAAATTCCGGTTCGCGCTTTCCCTTTGCCAACTGTCTTGCGTGTCCTTGTCCTTCGGTCGCCCCATTTCCTCGATTACAGCCCAAAGACGACGCCCGGGTGGAACTCGCTCGGCTCTTCCCACCGCCATTCCCGACCTCCTCGGGCTCACACCCTGGAAGGTTCCCAGCGCGGGGGGCGGACCAGCTTCTCGGCCTCAGGGCGACAGCGCCAGCCCCGCGCGGCCAGCGAGACGGCCCGGTCCCCGAGGAGCGCGGCAGCCCAAGGCCCGGCC